CCCCCCCCCAGACAGACACGCTCAAGTCCATTAATTGATTAATTATGTGAATTAAACTGAATCCGGTTGTATGAGTAATGTGTAAGGTGTGTGTGAATAAGTGTGTGTTGAGGCAGCATCATTATCAATCCACATCCAACCTTGTGCAAAGGAGGTCTTTTCGATTAGCCATTATCGTCCCGGGAGACCACTGCGAGCTGGCAACAGAGGGAGGATAGAGGCCAGAGTTTTATCTGCAGACCAAGTCTGATTTTCTGATTAAAGGCAAAATGTGGGCGACCATTGACACCGATTCCTACAAGAGTAGTTCATATGTGGCAAAGGGCAAAGTTTTTTTTGTGTCCTTTCACTGGCTGAAAAAGCTCACATTGGCAGTGGTTGTAGATTTAGTTACTACTTACTGTAACTTTTGGTCTACTTCTTTGCTACTTTGCCAAGTTATACTGCCCCACTACAGTTCACAGGTAAATCTTGGATGTTTTATTCCACAACATTTATTTGACAGGTGTACTTACTAATTACTTTTTAGATTAAAATACCTTTCTAAAATATAATGCATTGCTACCAGTGGCTCACAACCCTTCTGACTATTGAGCCCTTACAAAGCAGTGTGTAGGCAGGGCCCCTCGTGTTTCTGATATCTATGAGTTGTCATCCACAAAAAAAGAAGACCATTTCTTATTAATCCAAATAATAATATGCTTGATAAAACATCAGAAAACTGTAAAAAAAAAAAAATGCCTGCTTTAATTTTCTAGACCTCAGTGTGACTTCCTGAACTGTCTAGTTTTGTCTTACCTACAGCCCAAAACTCAAAGATATGCAATTGAATATAATTTAACAAAACTCTACAAATGTATGTAAGAGAACTTTTTTTTTCCTTCTGTGCCTCAATCATCTCATGACCTCTCAAATGTATCTTATAACCCCCTGGAGGGGCCTGACCCCTAGGCTGGGACAAATGTACAGTAGCTAACTGTATAAAGTAGTAGCTCCAAATTGAGCAGCTACAACTGTAAAATGCTACTGGAACATTGATAGATCAGTATTAATCAGTCACGGGGGAATTTTTAGGAATACATACATTTTCCAACACAGGGTTGAGCACTTGTTGCCCTCAGAGCGGTTATGCAGAAGAAGATGGCTGACAATGAAAATATCTTGCATCGCATTTCAAATCCACGTTTAAATTGGGCGTGCTGGGAGTTGGTAAAATGTGACCTCCAGTCAGTGAACATGACGAGGCGAGCAAACAGACACGGGCAAAAATCTGTTCTGTTTTCGGAGAATCATTCATTTATGATTTTCCCTTGTAAAATACACCTTCAATATTTTATAGTGTAATTCTTAGCATGGTACTACACTGACTGAATCCCCCAAAGAGCGTGTAGCTTGCATGACTGACTGAATAAAAACACATCCTCCTCTGCAAGCCATGCAGGAAGATCATTTGATCCATTTTTTGTGTTTTTGTAAGAAAAAACTTTCAATAGTTTCAAAAATTTTCATCTTTATACATGTGTTTTTTTCATCTGCCATTTGTAAATATTTAAAGACAAAGCAACTACTACTGTACGGGGACTTTAAACCGTCACATACTGAAATTATTTCTAATTGAATCAATCCTTCTTCACTTTTGTCCCGGCCAGAAGCCAGCCATGCACTTAGTCACAATGCCATCAGCAATGCTGCTTTATAGGATAACACACTATTAAGCAGTCATTTACAGAGAGACATTATTCACCCGGCAGAGACACAGGGGACAGATGCACATCTGTCTGCACAGCGTTTACTCTGACTAGACTTCAGGCTGATTTCACACTCATCATTTCCTCTCTGTCAAAAACTGAGAAAAGGGCCGACTTCCTTGCACCTCTTCACCCACATCCTCTAACAAGATACTGAAGCAGGGCGTCCGCTAAATTAACACTGAGAGCTGGCTGTCACCTGAGTCCAATAACCCTCATCTGGGAGACAAACCGGACTTTATTATTGCTGCTGCAGTTCCTCTTGCGTTCAGCAGGGGCTGCTCCAAACACACAGGGAGCTCCTGTCACCGCTCCTGCTGCTGCTGTTGATGCTCCAAAATGAACTCGTGTCTATACTCGCCACTCCATAATGCTCGGCTCTCTCCAAAGGGCCTCTTTTAGCACGCTGAAAACCACTCCAGTCGTAAAACAGCCACAAATCCACACAAGGATTTCTTTCTGTGTTGCTTGTCATGCACCAAACTCCATGTTGTTTTGTGTATTTTAAGCAGAAATGTCCCATCATGTTGCATTATCTGATTTAAGGGTGCAGAGCTGGATATAAACCTAATGCAACAATAATGCAATATGATATCCAGGGCAGCTCCAAAAGCTATTTTGAAACTTACTAAGATATTTAAGTCCTGATATTACAACATTTCTTAACCTTCATTTGGCCATGATGCATATCTGCAGCTTTTCAGTGTACGTGCAGACCACTCAGCAGTGTTGCATCAACATATTAGCTGGAATAGATAGGAAAAAAGAAGAGACAACTAGAATATGGACAGAGACAGTAAAAAACTGAGAGAGACACACTCACTAATCAGATTAAGTCAGCATCAATAGAAAGTATCCATGAACAAACACTTCTTGATACTAAATTTACTAAAAATCTTCTGTTGCACAGAGATAATGTACAAGGAGATGAGAGGTTGTGTGTGTGTGTATGTGTTTAGGTGTGTGAGTGTGTGTGTGTGTGTACATCCACTCATGCGTGTCTGCTGTTGTGACAGAGAGACATGACGGATCCCTCTTACATCAGTGGGAGGCCACCCGGCGCCAGATGACATGCATACACACACACACATGCTCACAACACCAACAGTGACGGATGGACCGGCCGCCTCCCTCATCACTCACTCCCACAGACAGAGAGAGAGAGAAGAAAGAGAGCGATGGAGGGGAAGAGAGGGAGCGGCAGCAGGAAAGAGGGGACGAGATGAAAGAAGAGAAAGAGGAGAGAGGGGAGGAATGAGAGATGAGGAAGGAGAGGGAGACAAAGAAAGCACAGTAGGCTTTACTTTCCAGTAATGACAGACACACACACACACACACAGAAACACACCCACCCTCATGTCATTTCCATCAGTTGACACCTAAAGACATTATTCAAGCCCGGTCGCAGGCGCGCAGCTGCCATTAACCATTGAGCCTCCCGTGCGCTCAGCTGGGGAATTGATTCCATGTAAGACCTCTGTGAAAAGTCAACAGGCATTAGTCGAGAAAAAAACCCGGATTAGGCTTTGATTGGACGCGGCGACACGGCGACGCGGCGACGTAACCGAGCATGGAGAACTTAAAACGACTTACAAGCTGCGATCAGGCAAGCACAGGTTAATCCAGGGGCTTTAAGTCGCAGCCACTTATCGACCGCGTCCCAGAGGACAAATGTATTTCACACCATCTATAGAGCACATGTATGTGTGTGTTTGTGTGTGTTTGTACTGTATACGACTAGAGAAATACTTTCGATGGGTTGAGTTTTTACAGCTTTCAGTAATGTGATGTTTGCAGTTACATGTGTCAGCAACTACAACTGATCAATACTGGCTTTCCTGTCACAGTTGTAACGGCACCAGATGCACACTGGGAGGTTGGATGGCCTCATTCAAGCAAAATGGGCTTTTGCAGGCCAGCGCCAATGTTTACGATCGATCGGACCGATAGATATTCAGGCTGATGAGCTTTAAATTCGGCAGAGGTGGGGCAATGTCACTGTTCATCACTGTCAAGTCAAACGTAAGTCATTGTAAGTCATTGCTAGGAAGTCCGGAGTCAAGCCCCAAGTCAGGACA